AGTTTCGTTCCGTAATATTCCTATCTTTTGGTTTTTTCAAGATGACAGATTATATAAGATTATGAACCTTAGGCAGAAAGTGTCAGTAGACAATTATGTTTTGAAAAGAGCATTTCAAAACCTATGTTTAGGTTTTGACAAATTGTAAAACCTCGCGACCAAGACTTGAAAAGCTTTCACATTAGTGATTGAGTGATTTAGATTTAAAGTCACGTCGGCAATATTTTTAGCCATCATGTGACTTGAACAAGTTATACAATATTATATTATAAAACTGTCGACGAAGGACAGTATAATAACTAGCAATACTGACTGACTTAAAACTAGTTGTAGAACATTTAAAATATCGGATTATTGGGGTACGACACAATATAAAAATGGGGCTATAGATCGCCAGCAACAAGGTTAAAATCACCATACTGGGGACCAAGGGGACCTCAGCTACCTGCATGGTTCCCCAGCAGGATTTCCCAGCAGGATTTACACTTCCCCAAGTTACTGGCGATTGTTGCGAGTTTAGCCAGAGATTAAATGTGAACAAATAGTCTGCACTTAAAGTGAGTGAGTGGGGTGGGTTGAACGCCGCTCCTGACAGTATTCCAGATATGTCGCGGCGTGTCAGCTTAATGTGGGAGGGAAGCCCGTAGTGATGCAGGTCTCAGACGTTTACCGCTTCGGTGAACTAACGAGCACGGGTATGGTGCTGACAAACCTAGAAACATAACAGGGACGAACCGGGATTCGAACCCACAATCATAGGTTTTCTGGCGTGCCCAAGGGAGGCAACTATGTACAGCGAATCACGGCGCCTCAGACGACTGGGCCACCCGTGACCCCTCTGCAGTTAAAATAGAGTTAGATATAAAGATATACTTTGAAAGAGGTGGTCTTAAATTCCCTCTCAGGGGGACTATAATTTAATTTTCGCTGTGTTCATTGATATTCTTGCATTCTGATTAGCTGAATTGGTCAGGTTTTATGGTATTCATTCATTCCCAATGAATGTAAAAAAATAAGCAACGCCCACCGAGGCGGACTACTATTGTTACTACAGAATGTAGGGGAATCCCAAAACTATATTCGAGGCAATTCCCTTTATGCTTAAGAGTATCGATAGTCATGCACAGGACATTTAGCGAAATTCATGCATTTTGAGACCGAAGGCCGAGAAGGAATGAAACAGCAAATGTGCAGGCTCGATCGCCTGTTTTGCCCCGCTCGCCTCGGTTCCATAACTTTCATGTCTTCAGATTTCATTTCTAACAAGAGATCTAGCATTTTTTCAACCCTGTCTTCCCGTTATCAGGGAACTAATGTTTTAATCTGGAGGTAGCTGACCATGCCATTTGAAACAGCCGCCTTCTCCCGGCAATATGTCTTCCCGTTCGTTACAGTCTGACTGTTGCACTTCTTTTCGCCTCTTGTCTCGATTGACAGGTCCCATGAACATTGTTTTGATCCTACTCTCCGTTGATTGGCTACAGAATATTTAGGCGTGTCAAGATATGTGCATAAATTATACAATCACCTGATTCATGTCACGCCACACTATGTATTCCAACACCTGGAATGTTTATCAATGTGTTCATTTTTGTCTGCTTTGACATATACACCTGTTTTTGGTTAAACTATTGTAGATAAAACATGTTTTCGAATTTAAATGATCACAAGCATTGACGGTGTATTTTTTTTAGTTCGTGGAGGTATGAATCGGAAAAACTGATGTGTAAACTGTATGAATCCGCACTGCTTACACAAGTCGGTCAGTCAGTCCTTAAATAACTTAGAAGTTCCAAAATTGTAAAATATATTAGTTTCTAGTAATAGCTGGATGATAATCGGTGGGGTGTAACGCAACGTTTTGTCAAACATCCATTCACTCGAGGGGAATATATTTTTTACACATTTCCTGAAAATGACCTACGTGACATATTTCTAGATTGTACTGGCATCACTTCAGCTGACCAATCTGTTGGAGGCATGAATATAACGTCCCCATATGTAAACTATCTCTAGTGTACATTTAAATCATAATTCTGTTTACATTCACGATCTTGTAACACGATAAATAAACATGTAATGATTAAGATAAGCGTGCAGCAATAAATTCACATTACTTCTTGAGTATTAGAAATAAAAGCAACAAAACCCTTTCCATGTTCATAAGAATTCTCGAGTCGATTGTACGATTCCGACTACAGCAGACAGTTATGATACCAGGTGTTCGCTAAAAGGTGAGAGTGATTCATATGCAAAGAGGAAACTAATGTTATGAATTTCATTGTCATATTGAGTTTGACCATTCGGCACTACATGTACGAGGGCTGGTAAACAAGTTCTTAGCCTAAGAAACAAAACCAACACTCGTGAAAGTGTTTTTAAGTTTAGATTTCAACATAATCTTTTCAATACACTTCAATTATCGCTAGTGAATCTTTTCAATTCCAGTCAGGAAGCAGTTTTCTGAAGCCATCCTGAAAACCCCATTCCTGGCAATTTTGAGGTCTTTGTTGCCGCCATAGCACGTTCCACGAATGTGTTCTTTAAGTTTAGGAAACAGGCAGAATTCACTTGGTGCCAGGTCTGGTGAGTATGGAGGGTGAGGAAGCTCTTCGAACCCACATTGTTGCACAGCAGCCTTTGCAAGTCGAGGTGTGTGAGAAGAGGCTTTGTCATGAACAAGTAGAACTCCAGCAGTCAGCATTCCTCACCGCTTTTCTTTGAAAGAGTCTCTCAGGAGTACCGAGCAGTGCTGAAAAGAAAATTAGCATAGTAGGCACCGATAATCGTCTTGTGACTTTTCAGGAACATTCCCTTTCATCCCAGAAAATACTGGTCATAAGGTTCTTCACTCATCTTGAAGACTTGAATTTCGTTGGTGTCGGAGAAGTGGAATGGTGCCATTCCATGCATTGACGCCTCGGGATCATAATGGTAGACCATTTTTTCATCACGCCTTACTGATCTCATTTTGAATTTGACGTCACTCTCCTCAGTTAGCTCTAAATTGTCCTTGGCAATGTCAGGGTGTTTCCATTTAGGTCAGAATTTAGGAGCTTTGGCACACAAGGAACAGATATCTAATTCATATGTTAATGTTCATGAATAATAGTGTCAATAGATCCATGGCTTAGACATGTGTCTTCTTCATGTTCAGCAATGGTAGTACGTCTGTCTGACAGTATACATTTTTCTTTCTCCTTGATTGAATCTTCATTGGAAGTTGAAGTACGCCCGGGCATCGGGTCGTCATCATCAAGGCTTGTTCTTTCAGCCTTAAACAAAGCTACCAAACGTTAAACATTAAATAGCTAGGGCACTTATTCCCATACAGTTGAGACATCCGGTCATGAATTTCTTGGAGAGAATTTCTCTCTAAAGTCAAAAACTTGATGACTGCTCGGTACTCGTTCTTTTCCATTTCTGTGTCCATTTGGACCCCTATCACGTTCAACAGGCTGTCACTGATATACAAACGGCCTCAATAGACCAAATACACTTGCAATGAACTATTCAAACAATGTACTACATTGACTAGTTTACGTTGTTATGGTCCACAGTTGAAAGTTAGTCAGGCTTAGAACGTTTTGACCAGCCCTCTTTAAGCTCTGAATATATTGAATTGTTTATACCTTTGTTGTCGCGTGTCACATTTGCGCACACTAATAAGTTAATATAGTAATACATAAAGAAAAGTGTAAATGACAGCTTGGCCAATGTTTCTTGAAGCTATTGCTGTATGCTTTGTGAGTAATCTCCAGCTGGATTTCTCAGAATGTGGTCACAGTAAGTTATATTAAACGAATATAATTAATAGTATTATTGTGTTTACTATATTGGTATTCTGTATTGTATATCCTTTTAAAATATATGATAATACCCCCTTTCGAAAGCCAGTTTTCCATAGTGGACCAGATTGAGCTTTATTATTGACAACCTCAGGAGAGACGTGAAACTGTTTCTCAATCATTTGAACAGTAGCTGTGTAAATCGTTTATGTATCTAATTTCTTAAAAAAAACACACTTTTGTTTGTTGTTTATTGTTGTTCTCAAGTGAGTGTCAAAAGAAACAAAAGCGAGTTTCTTTATTATGTTATGGAAAATTGAAAGAACTATTAAATTATTTAACCATCACTCATTCCTGTAACATGTTTTTCAAAAAGATATCTGTTGGGTGGGAAATTTTTATGCGAAAAGAAATTAGTTCAATGAAGTTTCGGGTGAGAAATGAATTTGCAACCCCATCACCTCTACATTTTTTAATGTTTTAAAGTTGTGCCGAATAAAGCAAATGTCAAAGATAAGAGATACCCATCAGCAGATAACGCGAATATGTTTTCAAAAAAATAATTCAAATAAATAAATAAAATTATATTTTTAAAAATAAAACCAAGTGAAAGTTTTCTTTGAGTGCTGACCAAGTGCCAGTACAGATCATTTTTCGGATACAATATTGCTAAGTAAAGATATTTTCAATTGATATAAAAAATATCATAGAATTAACTGAGGGGAAGCATTTCTTTTGCTCAACGGTGTATATAATGACTGTCTGTACATATTCGATTCTAGACCAGACTGTCCAGTGACTGACATAATGAGCATCGCTCCACGCAAATGGATAGATAACATGCAACAAAGCAAGTTACCTTGCCTGACAACCCCATCCAGTTAGCCGCCTCTTACGATAAGAATGGGTTGTTCTGGACCTCACCCGGAGTGCTCCAAGGGTTTATATAGTCGTGAATTGGCGAGTTATGGAGTGTTATTTTTATCAAAACCATTGTAATTTAATTGTTATCCTGGATATATGTGCACACTTTAGGGCATTGGTTGTGGCTCGACTCCATAACCTATGGACAACGCTTGAAAGTTAAACACTTTCTTATTCAGGCAAATCATCAACGTTCTTCAAAATAAGAAACGCACAAGTAGTCTGTAGTTCATTGAACCTAACGAAATAAAAAAATCCGGTATGTAAATTGGATATATCTTATTGGAAAATGTCGGTGGCCTGAAATGCCTGTGCATGTTATGGCATTCGTTTATTCGTGGTTATAAAAAGGCAAGCATGACCCAGAAATTTGTCATTCAATTGTTAATATTAAGTTGAAAAATGCCGAGACTCGGCACATCGGAACATCGCCATAGGACGTATCCAAAGAGAGGAATCGCAGTCTTCCGTTGCAGGCAACTTCAACGTCCACCACAGAACCATTTGCCGCCTTTGAGACCGATACACACAGTTCAATTCCACTGCAGATCATCCGAGAACTGGCCGAACAAGAGTTACCACTCCTGCACAAGATCGTTAGAGCCACAGAGACAGCAGGACGCATCCCTGGTTTGAGGAGGATATCAGACCAGACTGTCAGGAACCAGGCGAGATGGAAGACAATATGTTTATCGTCATCGAAATTAGGTTTTGCCCCACATTGTATACCTGAATTCGACAATTCGGTGGAGGTAGTGTCATGGTGTGGGGTTTCATATCCTACACCACGAGATCTGACATGGTTGTGGTTCACGGAAATATGACAGCAAATCGCTCCATCAATCAAACTCTACAACCTCACCTTCTTCCAGTCATTTACCGCCAGAGGGAGCTGTTTCAACAGGACAACGCTCCACCACAGCTTGTGTCACTGTAGACTACCTTCATAATGCCAGCATCAACCTTTTGCCCTGACCGTCAAGATCTCAACCAAATCGAACACCTCTGGCTTGAACTCGATCGACGTGTACGTAAACGTGAGAACACGCAGAAGACACTCCCACAACTGGCCAGCGCAGGACAGAATTTGTACACTTATCCAGTCAGTGCCGAGGAGATGTATAGCCATGATTTATTTACAATAAATTTACTTAAAATCTACCTGTGCGTTTCTATTCTTGAAAAGTGTAATACCAAGTCTGGCTGTTCGTAGAAAACTGGTTCCTTCATGCTCACCAACAAAACACGTTCTGGATACTTTGCAAGATTTTGATTGTGGTGTGTAAAACTAATTGTGTTAGAGTCAGTGACTGTCACTGAGGTTTACAGATGCTATAACCTGTGCTACGCCATTGCTGGACATGGCAACCTGTGAAGATCCTAGTAAGAATAGGTCTTCAGCAACCCATGCTTGCTCTAAAAGGCGACTTGTGGTGATGGGTGACTAACGAGATCGGGCGGTCAGTCTTGCTAACTTGGTTGATGCATGTCGTCATATCCAAATTGCGTGGATCGATGTTCATGTAGTCAATCACTTGACTGTCTGGTCCAGACTTGAATTATTACTGTTGTTATGTAGTACAACTAACACTCTCTCTCTCACTAGATATGGAAAGCCATATATTTGTTTCTTTTGTGTCTGTTCATCGGGTTGTGGCCGGTTTGTTTGAGCCAGTGTGTTTACAGCTTCGTCTTTTCCACGTCAGCTGCTGTCACCACCATTTGCACATCCCCACATGAGTTCACTTGGCCCCCCAGGGTGTCGGCGAGGGGTTTACCCCCCGTCTCCTTCAGGATCAGGGATAACACTCCACAGGCGGCCATGGTCGATCCAACAATGACGAAAGGCACCACGACATCACCATCTCCTCCCTGTGGACATAACGTTGTACATAATTAGCAAGTGAGGTTTCATTGGACTATTTACATCCACACCCCTCAACAGTTCATACAAAGGACACGCAAGAAATAGTACATTGTGTTTGCAAGTGTCATTATGACGCATTATAGTGAAGCTGTAAGATATGTATTCGTTTCTTTAACATAATCCACAGCATTGGGAATTAAACGATACATGTAATGAACATTGATATGAAAAGTGTCCTGTGAATGTGTGTTTTTTGGCAACGTGTGTAATCATACGCTAATAATATTCTTCCAATGTGTGAATGACCTGAACATTTGACATGGCCTTGACACATGGTACATGTAAGTATAAAAGAACGTGAAATTATTTTGTGTGTTATCATGGATTAAAATTAATTATTCAATGCTTTACATGGTCTTGGTGACCTTGACCTTCATCGGATGTTATCGAGAAGCTTCTCAAATTAAGACCCTATCCTAGACAAGGAGAATAGTTAAAAAAGTAGATTATTTTTTATTGATTTAAACACATTTTGTTTACAATGAGATGTATAGAGCATAGGCAAAAAACTCCACACCCTAAATATTTACATGATTAGCGTTATGCAATAACACAAGAGATACCCACTGAAGGCAGAGTCTATACAGAGACAAGCAGCAGGAAACAGGGTCTGACATATACTTGAATCTATTAGTGTGCTTGATATACTTATTGACAGAGTGAAACAACTGTACATTTTCGTTGTAACTGCGATTGGACCAATACTGATACACCAGGGACTAGCTTGGCTTTACAAATACAAATATGAGATAACAAACATTATCTTCCTTGCAGTTCTATAAAATCAACATTCTATTAAGTAGCGATAAACGTATTTACACGGGGAACTGGAGACAAAGTCATGACTTTCTATTAAACTATATCCATATCAGTCATAATTTATCTTAGGTTGGTAGGAGACAACATGGTTTGGGTTGACATGTTTGGTAGGAGTGGACTGCAGAGGAATTCTTTGTTGAAATGGCATCCTGACAATGCACGTTGTGATTTCAGCTCAACGATGGACGTTTGGATGTATCTTGTGTGGGTCAATATATTGCCGGTGCCCAAGTATGTTCATCAGAACAAAGATCAACGAAACACTTTCTCATGTCAAGTTTGCATCACAAGTTCGTCTTATGTTATGCCTACTTTCACATCTAACGATACCAACCTAAACAAACTATGAATCCCAACACAATGAACCTACCGTTGCAAAGATGTATGGAGCAAGTATTCCGCCAATGCGAGCTGCTGTATTAGCCACACCATAACCCAAATTTCTGAAAAGAATAGATAAAACAAAAACGTAAAAGTATCTATGCACCAAACTAATAACTGTCATGTGCCTTCTTGTGTGTAACGAGGGGATACGTTCAGTCGCCTCTAGTGAGAAATCGGCAGAATTTACAATACCATGTGATTTTGTTTGTTTGTTGTTTAACGTCGCACTCAGCAATATTACAGCTATATGACGGGGGTCTGTACGTAATCGAGTTTGTGACTTAAAATTTTAACTCACTCACCCACATAATCGAGGGTGAACCACACAATCCAAGGATTGACATCATGAGCATCGATCCACACAATTGGGATTGATGACATGCATCAACCAAGCGAGACTGACCACCCGATACCGTTGGTCGCCTCTCACGACAAGCATAGTCACCAATACGGCAAGCATGTGTTGCTGAAGACCTATTCTATCCCGGATCTTCACGGCCGTAATACTATTATGAGAGTGGGATAAGTTCTTTTTAATGCGTTTTTTATTGTGAACATTTGATAAACTGCCATAATGTACCCCAACTTGTGAAGGTGGGATAAGTCATAATAATCTTCCTCGTAACATTTTGCTAAGCCGCTATCATGTACTCTACTTTTCAATGATGGGGGAGATCCCACAATTCAATTTACCTTGTGACAGTCGGGTACGTCTCACTTGACAGCAACTGAAGAACACACCAAGCAGCACCAACACCGAGTTTGGCCAGCATAGCCAAGACGTTGATAATGATCCCTTGGTCATCTTCAGCGACTAGAACACATTAACGAAATTGACTATATTGAACATGCATAAAACGAACGCAATGTGTACGGAAGACATGGTATTTATGGTGTTAGTACACTGCCATGAACCGGAAACTGTGTATTCAGAAATGTTATTAAAGTTGTGTCTATTGTTATTAATGTTTCATGAGAATAATGGAACAGGAAACACTATTTGCGTTCCGTTTTGTGTAAATTACGATCGCATTTAACAGTACGACGTTGGTCTTTACACTTTTCTTTACGTTATGGTGGATTTAAATAGTACACACCGATTTTTCTTGATCATTTCAAAAGACTATTAACCCAGCATCTTGTTGTTTTAGAAAGCTGAACCAACTCATCCGTCCTTTAGACTGTGCAGTCAAAGTTCGCTAAGGGTTCAGCTGATGCGACCTTCTGTGGAGGTGCCATCAGATATACACGCTGAAATGTTTGGTATTGGAGTAAAAGTTTTGATTACACACCTGTTCTAGCCACGATGCAAACACCAAAGGAACCGACAGTGGCTGCAGCAAAGAAAATGAAAGCCGTCCATCTTCTGCCAAATCTATCAACATAAACTAAGTTATTCCATGAAGACAAAGGGATAAACATGTTCATCAAAATCTGTCCGGTACCACGATTATAAATCATGGTCTATGCAAAAATAACCGATGTCCATGGGTTTCTTTACAGTTGTGGACGTCTTTGCTATACACCACAGGGAGATGTCTTCTCACATTAAGTCAATTTGTCTGTATTATATTAAACTTTCCATAAAGGCATTACATGAGTCATGTATTCACTGTGTCACTTCCATATAACATGTACCTAAATACATAGGCATAATCTCCAATGAGTTATTCTGTTTCACACATATCGATCAATGCATAAAGATCCAGAGCACTCATAACACTCTCTACAAGATTGTATAACAAGAGTGATGACTTCAACGTTCCAAAAGCCAACTTTCCCTTCATGTCGAGCAATATTCCTGCAGCTCGAGGCTTTCGTCTTTATATAACTTCAGGGGTACAATCGATCATGCTAGGCCACCAAGATTTCAAAAAGCGTCAGGTGACTCTAGCTCAAAGTTCAAGACCTCGGTAAAGTAAAAAGTAATTATGATAGACATTTCTAAATTTTACGCATCAATGACATCAATGATTTCAGATACAATTCCCTATATCGATTTGCACCGTATGTCCCCTTGTTTTCCAGGAAAACAAATGACTTGCCTTGGCATGTGTTTGTGAAGGGTGCCAACTGTTACACTCACCTCTTCGCAAACACCTGTTCTCAGTATTATTTGATAGTGATTCATAAACACATGCTCATGATGTAGTGGGAATCATACAATCGACTCTGCTTTTGTTCGAGATTTCTTATGAATATAGAAAGTGTTTGCCACTTTTATTTGAACGCAAAAGAAAAATACAACATACGATATTACGTACCTCTGGACAGAATGGTGAAATAAGCATTGCTATATTATATAACTTTTGTTTGCAATATCAGTACTGGTTGTACATAACTCTGTTGTGAGGTTTATCCATAGTGTAAACTTGGACCTTTACCTTTCTCCAATGTATCTGGTAACAAAACTGATCCTTTACTTGGCACCTAAATTTGAATTGTTTGATTTGCTTTGGCTCATAAAATGCCAAATTGCGTGGATTGATGCTCATGATATTAATCACTGGATAGTACGGTCCAGACTCGATTATCAACAGACCGCCGTCATATAGCTGGAATATTACAGAGTGCGGTGTTAAACAACAAACCATGCAACCAACCAATCATAAAATGTCAATAATGAAACAAATAAAACGAGGTGGACTTTGCACGCCACACGTGTGACTGACGTAGTTTCTTGTTGTTCAACGCCGAACTCCGCAATATTCCAGCTTTTTGACAGCATTATGCAAATAATCAAGTCATAGTTTTCATGATAGATTTCTCTTACTTGTTGTTCATGAAGAACGTCATCACAGTGGCTGGCACTTCCACCACTGCCAGAAGGAAGATGTTCAGATACAGGTTGCCTGCGAGTCTCCCTGCACCGAACGATATCCCATAGTACACCAGCGACATGCACATCCTGTAGGGCAAATTATTGTGTAATTTCCTTTATAAAACCTCACCAACAAAACGACACCTGTTTGTCGATTCTTCAGAGATTAAATGCAGATCACAATCGGAAAGAAAGGCATTCCCCTTCATTTTTGAGTAATTTCACACATCTGTGAACAATATTTCGCGCGTCAGCTTCTTACGAGAGAAAAATTGCCCTCATCTTTGATGCCTATGGGTAAGGCGTGTCGAAGTTATTCGACCCTTGGCTTTTTCCATATCTATCCGGTGTAAATAAACTGGTCTAACATAGAACCGCTTGGGTATTTTGTACAACAATGTGTCACACCATGCCAAGTATTTGTAAATTTTGGCATCTTCTCTTCACATTACACATGTATTCCGTTTAATCACTCCATCTCCATATACCAAGGTACACAGAATAGTATCAACCCCCTCCCATACCCGATCCACTTCTGTGCTCACCAAATGAACTGTATGATGAGAGACTTCCAGCAGATGCTCCAGCCCCTGTAGATGTCAAGGTACGTGTACTTGCTGCCAGACGCTCTTAGTTTCTGCTCCTCTTCTGCCACTTGTTTCAGCAGCTGCAGTGTGTTGGTGGGCTTCTGTCTTTTGTTGTATCGACTCATCTGATCCACGACTTTCTCAGCTTCATCAGTCCGCCCTTTTACAGCCAACCAGCGCAGACTCTCTGGGACAAAGCTGGAATTAAATCAGTAAAACTAAAAAATGGATGTTTAAACCATTAGTTTGAGAATGGTAGAGTGAAAGCCTCCCTTTTCGAAAACAAGAAATTAAAATACCCAACCCTTAAGTCGTCTAACACCAAATGATGATGAACATGTTTGACATTAATAATGGAAACAATATATGAAGAAATATAAATCATATAGAAACAGCTCAACACTGATCAAAATTGTCACTACTTGTCTTGCGTTCATTGTTACAATGAGTCACACCTGAACACAACATATACTCATTTTGTGCACCTTAAACACGAGATATGGGCACATATTCCAAACCTAATTAGCAGTAGCAGATGACTATAGAATATAAGCCTTGAACATCGTGCTAGAAACATTTGGATGCTCAAGGGTGTTTCTCAGGTCAGTGCTGACACGTGTTGACGTCACTGAGATTAGGATTGGGTTACCAAGCCCGTGGTACTGTTGCACATGTCGATAGTCCCGGGGTCACAAAGGCAGGCAAGTATATTGTTGACCTCAACATGCGTAACAGGTTTCTTTAGTCATGTCAGTGTCGCCGGCAGCTTTATTTCTACATTTATCCACGTTTTCCGGCTGATGCTGGAGTGCAGTTCCGTGGCATTGCAGTAACATGCAATCTTTGGATGAAGAAAATCACAATATATTTTCTGTGAAATCTTGGATAATTCTCAATTTTCAAGATTGTACAAGCAGGCGCGAGTTGGAAGGAAAAAGAAGTGTATGTGTGAGCTCAGAACACGGATATTCTTAATCCTCCACATTAAGACATCTGCTACTTTAAAGTTGATATAGAGGCAATTATCACAACTGGAGAAGGTGGCGCGGGTTGTACACCTGAAACACGACGTACTTCAAACTGAGAACAATCAGCTAAACCTGACACTGACAAATAAAAAAAATAAACTTGAAGATATGGAGTGTCGACACCGAAGGAACAATTTAATAGTCCATGGGTTAAGTAATAATAGCAGTGAATCATGAGCGTGATGCGTGTCTGATTAACTCTACTACTGTTTCCTTGGTGGCCATGTACTTGCCGTCCTTCTTCGACTTTTTTGCCAACTTCATCCATGAAATCAAAGGAATTCCTCCCTGGGCATTGATTGTCCAGTCTTTCCTCACTTGAGGACGTCAATAAGCTTCTGTTTATATTCAGAGGACCACAAGAACAATTAGATACATTGTCATCCATGATGGCATGTCTGAAATAACAGTTGTTTGTCCAGAACCTTTACTTATACATGTACTTAACTTATTATGATAGTTGTAACAAGGATCGTCATCTGTCTTAAAAAACTCTCTCAATTTGAGTAAATATAATTAACGTAATATTTTTCATATCAAAGATGAAGCTATTTGTGCCGCAATTGCAATAGTTTAACCTTTTGCAAATAATATGCCATCCGAATGTTTGAATAAATAAAAGAAGGGAAACAGTGAATTAAGATGAAAGGTGGAGCTGTTTACGTTATCTCAAAGATGGAGAAGCTAATTGTACCTAAATGTAATACTATGAACACCTAATAAAAGGATAAGTTGTTTCATTTATTTAGGTAAATTGATATCAAAACAATATACTGTGTGTCAAACATACATAACCCAACCAATGAAAGCAGGAAATATAATCATGTGAGTAGATATTTTTTCAGCAAAGATCATCGTTCATTAATTTAAAAAAAAAAGGAATAATGGTTTATTTGGTGCACATTAGAGTCTAAATTTGGCCATGCCGTATTTTATTTGTGTTTTACAGTAGTTAAGAAACCATATAAATAATATTTTATGATTTAATGTTGATGCATCCATGTGTGAAAACAATTTAGTGGACAGACCTTGTAAAACAAATTCAGTGAATAGATCCCTATAAAATAACTGTCCTTTTGACTTATGTGAATATGATTTTGAAACTCACACACGCCACTGTCAATTACATGCATTGGGCAAGTTGTATTATAGTGATGAGAAATACAACTTCTATTGGCTGCTGTACTGAATAGTTAGTCTTGTCTTGACAAACATTTTTTCTCCATTTTTCTCGGTTCTATAAGTGGCATAATCGAATTGGTTGTGTCTGTTATATGCAATTTTGGATTAGTCTTGGAGTATTCGCATATTTTACCTCGGCTCTACATGTGTCTGTGTGCTGATTTTGCTAAGAACAAGTCTGTGATTGGTCAGTCGGATACAGACTTCTGCATGTTTTAGCTAGGCTCTAATCCTAACTGGAGATGACTGCGAGTCTTGACATTGACGGGGTTGTATCGGTCTCCTATCTACTGAGAATAGGCGTATACAAGGTACCCTATCAGACATGTGCGGTTAAAGACTTGCTGGCCGAAACCATCTCTTATCCAGGATTCGAACACCATACATCATGATGTCATTATGAACCTGTCGAGGAGTGTGAGGTCACGGTGCACGGATGGGATTAAACAGCCTGCTCTTTGTTGAGCGATATTCAAGCAGCTCAAGCCTTTGGTGTACACATTTCGCAACATTTGAGACACAATTGAGCATGCTTTTTCGACCAAGGTTTCAAAGAGCATCACACGGCTCTTGCTCAGAGGTTCTTTGATACTTGTTCCAACATTGAAGGCCAAGGTAAATCTTTCAAGGGGTTTTGTGGTGGACAATTGGAGGACTTTCAAAATTTGATGCATGAGTGACGAAAAGGATGTTCGATGAAATTCCCCATTTTGACTTGTATCATATGTTCTCGTGTTTTACCCCATGTTTACTTCACATGCGTGTGCTTTTGATGAGAGTCACCGGTAGGGCAGGATCCCTTTATCTTTAAGCGAACACCTTGTGTCATTACTTTGTGATAGGGATCCATGATGTATTCAGAATCGTGGAATATGGGAGGAGATGTATCCCGTTTATTTTGCACGAGGAACCGAATCTCCATTGGTGACTATTAGATGGTTACCTTAAACATATTTTGAATAATGCAGAACGTAAATGAGACTTTTTGGATTTGAACATTGGCAATCACCATATATCACCAATCATTATTTGAGTTCCAACTTTCTCAGGCTTAATTTCGGGATACCGGGATACTTACAACCATCCGGCGAAGAAGGGTAGATGAAGGGCAGCCGCTATGATGTGTTGATCAGACCAGTCAGGCCTCAACTAGCTCGACAGGGCAAATATACATACACCCGTTACCCAGACTGGCATTGCCGATGCAATTGGTCGCCATTTCCTTCCAATGAACTCCATGAAATACGGGTAGCTTACAACCAGAAGAGAGCCAATCGTCATCCCGATGAGAAAACGCAACGCTGTAAACATCTGCCAGTTGACGGAGAATGCTGCCACCAGATTGAACCCACTTTGAAGGACCAGGCTGATGAAGTAAGTCCACTTCCGACCGAGGACGTCAGCAGACTGTCTGCCAAACAGTGCCCCAAAGAACACTCCGGCCATTTGAACTGATGTGATAATGGACTTGAGAATATTCTGGTCACATATGAGATCCCACTGAAGAAAAAAAAGACATTTGATTTGTTGAAATGTTGATGAGATAAGATGAGATAAGATGGCAGTTATGAGTTGATCAACTGAACCTAGCTAATGTGTGGCTTTGTAGTATATATTTACATAAACATAAGGTGTGAAGTTCATTTGATTATATGCAGCTAGGCTCCAATACGATCAAATACTAGTAGCCAATTCCCTTCCACTGATTTACAGGCACTCGTGAAGAGCAACCTCCTCGTGGTGAGTGCTGGGTAACGCTAATCGCTCTTCCCCCGTGTGGAACCGGGGCAGAATATTTCCACAGCCTCCCATTGCTGGTCGTATGAGGCGACTAAAATGGGCAACCTGTTTGCCGTGGGTTGCGTCCCTGTGTCGGCGGAGGACGGGAGTCTGGTAGTTGAGGGCACTGGTTCCAGGAACTGTGTTCCTTTGCCCAACACACTACTTCGACCCTTACTTCGCCTAGACGGGTGGTAAGATGGGCCCGGTCTTATCAATCGGCTGGTCATGCCAGGCCCTGTGCGTAATATTGTATATGCACTCCTGTGTTGTATTATAATGTATATTTTGGACTTGGCCATGCATACTTTGTATGAATTACCAATTTTTGATGGAATAAATTGCCTAGAGTCTTACGCCAGAAGGCGGTGGCTCATGGGCCAATCTGGTGATGTTGACCTCTGTATTCTGTATGTCTCCAGTTTCTTGTCATGGACTGAACCTGCCTGGCACTACATCTGGTAGATGAATATAGCTATTCACGTCATATTTGCTGGAGTATAACATCCCTGTATCCCTGGTGTTTGCATGCTGGAAATCCGATGCGTTACAACACTGTCCTTGTTGACACTCCATGGGGGGTGGGGAGCAGGTATGCTGAAACACTTTTCTTTCGCCATGTCTACCAAACAACCTGGTTCTCTTCGTAACGACAAAAAAAGACGTCTTGAAGATGATGATTCTGGGAACATTCCCACCAACTCCGATTCATGGGCCCGATTCCTGGTGATCGAGGCTGCTGACAAACTACCTTTAAAATTGAATCCGTTTGCTATTTCAAAAGCTATTAACGGACACTGTGGAGAAGTGAAAAATGTCACTCGTCTCCGTAGTGGTTCTATTCTTGTGGAGTGTCTAAAGAAACAGCAATCTCTAAATCTCTTGTCGATCAGTCAGTTTGCAAATGTTGAGGTTGCTGTTTCAGCACACAAGACTTTAAACTCCAGTAGAGGAATTGTTCGAGACAGAGCTCGATGCCTTTCGGACATGTCTGAACAAGAAATTGTTACAGAGTTAAAGGATCAGGCAGTGACTGCTGTTAAACGTTTCACCAAAAAGGTCAATGGTGTTATCACTCCCCTGAATACCTATCTCTTCACATTTGATAGACCAAGTATCCCTCGTTCAATTAAAGCTGGTTATGTTAATATCGGAGTGGAGGTGTATGTCCCCAATCCGCTCCGATGTTATACTTGCCAAAAGTTTGGCCATGGTTCAAAATCATGTGGTCGACCTCATGTTTGCCAGCGTTGTGGTGGTCTGCATGACAGCGCTGACTGTAGGGCAGATGTAAAGTGTGCCAACTGTAATGGCCAACATGAAGCCTGGTCAAAGGCCTGTCCTATATGGAAAACTGAGTCACAGATATTGAAACTGAAACACAACAACAACATTTCATATCTGGAAGCCAAAAAGCAAGTAGCTAATCAGGTGCCGTCAACTTTATCTTATTCTGCTGTAGTGTCTCGTTCTGTTGCTACTTCATCAATAGAATGTCAGACTGAGTTGACGTGGGTTCACTCTGTGAAACCAGTTGATACAACATCTGTCATTCAGCCCAACAAATCAGATTGTCAGCCCACTACATCATCCTCAGAATCGCAGACTGATTCCCAATGTTTACCAGACATTGAAAAGCCAGGAAATGTTCATATGTCGAAGACAGAAAGAAAAAAACTAAATAGACAACATCTTAGGACACCCTCTCCTTCAGAGGTGCCTGTCCACAACTCCTTTGGACCTTTGGATATGGACGTAACTCCGTCTTCTCAGGCCAGTGCTAGGAGTTCTTCACGCTCGCGTGTGAGATTACCTATTGAGCCGCCATGACTCACACGCCTCATTTGATTCAGTGGAATTGCAGAGGACTCAGGAAAAATTTTAATGAGATACAATTGCTCATTCAGGACTTTACACCATCAGCACTGTGTCTCCAAGAGACTTATCTGAAGCACAATGATATATTTGATGTAAGGCAATATAATTGCTATCATTCGTTTTCACCTCCAGGTGATAAAGCTACTGGAGGTTCTACTATATTGATCAGGCAAGGTATCATCCATAGTACTGTTCCCCTCAATACAAATCTTCAAGCTGTAGCTGTCCGACTTACCTTGCACATTGCACTTACTTTGTGCTCCTTGTATATTCCTCCTTCGAATACTCTTCAGCAGGCTGATCTTCAGAATCTCTATGATCAGTTACCAAAGCCCTGTATCATCATGGGCGATCTAAATGGGCACAACCCTCTATGGGGAAGTCCACATTCAAACAGTAAGGGAAAAGTGCTCGAAGACTTTATTTCAGACAACAATCTCTGCATATTTAATGACGATTCCAACACTTATTTGCATCCTGCTACAGGAACATATTCAGCACTGGATCTCTCCATCACAGATTCAGATATTTACAACGAATTTGAATGGTCAGTTCATGATGACCTTTGTGGGAGTGACCATTTCCCTACCATCCTTAAAACTGTTAACCCTACTGATCGTCCACCAACAACTCGGTGGAATTTTACAAAGGCTGATTGGTCTTTATATGAATTATTATCCACTGAAAAATTAACACCTGACATTTTTCAACATGTTCAAGATCCGATACAGTTGTTTTCGGACTTGCTGAATGAAATTGCTGATGAAGCAATTCCACAGTCCTCTGCAATTCCTCATATTCGTAAACCATGGTTTAACAACGAATGCAAACAGGCACGAAAATATAGGAAGAAAGCGGAAAAGTATTTCCGCCGCCATCCTACAGTCCATAATCTAGATCGAGTCAAAATTACAAATGCCAAGGCACGACGTGCTTTTAAACAAAATAAGCGTATGTCTTGGAGGAACTATGTCTCCAAAATAAATTCCCGCACGCCCATGTCCAAGGTGTGGAATATGGTGCAGAAAATAAAAGGCAAAGGTTCAAGATCGTCTGTTCACCATCTTAAGGAAGGTGACACGTTATTAACGGATAAAACAGATATTGCCAATAAACTTGGAGAAACGTTAGCGAAACATTCTTCAACTTCTAATTATGTCCCGGAGTTTCAAAAATTTAAGAAACAACAGGAAAAGATCAAAGTTAATTTCACTTCTGATAATGGTGAAGACTATAATGAAGTCTTCTCATTACATGAGCTACATACCGCCCTTGGGCAAGCTCATGACACAGCAACAGGAGCTGATAACATTCATTACCAGCTTTTAAAACATTTACCAGAATCTTGTCTGGAGACACTTTTAAATATATTTGACCAAATATGGACATCAGGGAATTTTCCTACTTCATGGCATAATGCCATTGTAGTCCCAATACCGAAGCCTGGCCGGGATCATACAGATCCCTCGAACTATCGACCTATATCCTTAACAAGCTGCGTATGTAAAACCATGGAACGAATGGTTAATAATAGATTAATTTGGTATCTGGAAACCAATAATCTATTAACAAATATCCAATGTGGTTTCCGAAAAAATAGAAGTACTATCGACCATTTAGTACGATTAGAATCCTTTGTGAAAAATGCTATTGTCAACAAACAACACGTAGTATCAATTTTCTTTGATCTTGAGAAAGCCTACGATACTACTTGGAAGCATGGCATTCTAAAGGATTTACATGATTTTGGTTTGAGAGGCCGTTTGCCTCATTTTATATCACAATTTTTAACAGACAGACAATTTCAAGTCCGAGTGGGTTCCACCCTGTCTGACCATTATAATCAGGATCAGGGTGTCCCACAAGGCAGTATTTTGTCTGTCACCTTGTTTAGTATTAAAATTAATAGTCTGTCCAAGGTTTTAAGTAATTCAGTGGATGGATCACTGTTCGTGGATGATTTTAATGCATCTTGTTGTGGTAAAAATATGCATACCATAGAGAGGCAGTTACAAATCTGTCTCAATAAAATTCATAAGTGGTCTCTAGAAAACGGGTTCAAATTTTCTATGTCTAAAACTAACTGTATCCACTTCTGCAGAAAATATAAGCCGCATAAAGACCCTGAATTATTTTTGAATGGCACCCCTATCAAAGTTGTAAAGGAGGCCAAATTCTTGGGACTCATCTTTGATAGCCATTTTACTTTCTTACCACACATTCAATCACTTAAAGCTAAATGCCTGAAGGCGCTTGATTTATTGAAAGTTGTATCCAATTCCAAGTGGGGAGGGGATCAGACAACCCTCCTACACTTATACAGGTCACTGATCCGTTCAAAACTTGATTACGGCTCCATCGTCTATGGTGGAGCCTGTAAAAGTAATTTAAAAAAACTTGATACTATCCATCACCAAGGACTGAGGCTTTGCCTTGGAGCCTTTCGCACTTCTCCTATTCCAAGTCTGTCTGTTGAGGCGGATGAGCCTTCTCTTAAACAACGCCGTCTGAAACTATCATTACAATACATCACTAAATTATATTCTAATCAGTCAAATCCAGCCTTTAATTGCGTATTTAATCCTCTTTACGAAGATATTTACAATAAGAAAACATCTCTTGTTCCACCACTAGGAATAAGAATTAAATCAGTCGTTTCTGCTGCGAACATTACCTTTCAGGATATAGCTCCCACAAAACTTTTTTCATTGCCTCCTTGGCAGATGGTAAGACCAACTGTAGACCTCACATTAACAAAACTTAAGAAATCTGATACAAATCCACTTATTTATAAACAAGAATACAATCAATTACGAAACACTTATGACAAATATAAATCTATA